AGTTTACATTTTACAAGAGAATATTTCAGTCTTTCCATTTCAAATGTTCATTTTCAACTCAACATGTTACTTTCCATTTCTTAGAAATTGTTTGTGAAATTTACTAGGAATTTCTGAGTGAAAACTGTTTCTACACAATTTTTTTTCAGTGATAGTCTAAAACACGCAAAATTCTATAACAACTAAAATACTGTGTAAAATCACAGTACTATTCTACAATATCATTCAAACGTTTGGGGTCAGTAAGATTGATTTATTTTTTCTTCCAAACCAAATCATCATATTACATTAATAACGGTTTCTGAAAATTCATATGTTGCTTTTCAGCCTGAAATGAAGACTGACAGAGTTTTTGTTTTATCCAGCTGTATTTCCTCATTGTAACTTATAACATCCAAGTGAAAGATGATAACACCAACATGTAAAAAAACAAAAACAAAACCAATCACAGAGTTGGACAAATGATCACCCCCTTGCATCAGTATTTTGTTGAACCACATTTTGTTTTAATTACAGCCTGTAGTCTGTTGGGATTTGTCTCTACTAACTTTGAACATCTTTGCAAAATTTGCCCACTCTTCTTTACAGAACTGCTCAAGTTTAGTTAAGTTTGATGGTGAGCATTTTTGGACTGCAGTCTTCAAGTCCTCAAGAATTTCAGTGGGGTTTAAGTCTGGGCTCTGACTAGGCCATGCAAGAACATTCACCTTTTTCTCCTTCAACCACTGTGTGCTCAGTTTTGCTGTGTACTTTGGGTCATTGTCATGTTGGAAGGTAAACCTTTTTCCCATTGACAACTTTCTAGCAGAGGGCAGCAGATTTTCCTCAAGAATTTGACGGTATTTTTGCCCCATCCATTTTTCAGTCTATCCTGACAAGTGTTCCAGTCCATGCTGCAGAGAAACACCCCCATAACAGGATATCACCTCCTCCATGCTTTACTGTAGGAATGCTGTTATTTAGATGGTGAGCTGTATTGGATTTCCGCCAGACATATCATTTGGTGTTGAGACCAAATAATTCAATTTTAGTCTAATCTGCCTCAGAATCTTCAAGGTGTGTTTTGGAAAAGCTCAGTCGTGACTGCATGTGGCCTTTCTTGAGGAGTGGCTTTTTTTTTCTAAAATAAGTTTTGCATGTCTATAAATAGAAGATTTTATTTTCCCCCTTTTCCATTCACTGTGCTGCAGTAAATCAAGCCTGTGCTTTAATACATATGCATGACTCTTCCATCCTCCCTGCCTCCATAACTTTGCATTTCTTTTCTTCGGGAAAAAAAACCCCATCAAGAACGGTGTGTTGTTGACAAATTACATTGCCAACATGAAGCTTGAAATGTTCGTTTGATACCCAACTTGCTTGTCTATGATATTCAGATGTTTCTCTTTGAGAAAGCAATAACAGAACAGAACCAGCAGGAGACTCTGAAAATATCACCAGCCTTAAAATGAATGTGCTTCGTTTATCTGTAATGCGTTTTCAGTTACCAACATCCATGAATTCCCACAATTAGAACTTCCAAAAAAAATAACAAAACAATAAACTAAAGCCTACTAAAAATTATATATAGGCAAATATTTAATGTTATTAAAAAATCAAGAGAAGAAAACTGCCATAAAGCAATTTTAGAGAGCTGTACTGAAAACCAGAGATTGTAAGTTGTAATGCACATGCACACTGTCATCTCTTTTAAAAGAAAAATCTATTAAATGTCACCTAACAAAGAACTGGGCAATTTTGTGTTATTAAAGAAAAGAAAAAGTAACACGCCAAAAGAAACTCATTCCTTACCATGTCTCCTTTATCTCCCTTTTGTCCAGAATGTCCTGCCAAACCCGGAAGCCCTCGGGAGGGGTGTCGCGCATTAGCAATTACTCCACCGGCCTCGCTCCGTTCCCACGGCTCTCGGCCCCGCCCCTCTCGTCACACTGAGATACATAAAATATATCACATGTAACATGTATATCGAATGTAACACATGATCCTTCACAAATCATTCTAATATGCTGATTTGTTGATCAAGAATAATCAACAAATAGTTGGTTCTGTAAAGTCATTAATATGATCAAAGATGTGGGCAAAAAAAATAACAGCATTAGAGCTCAATTTTGATGACTTTGGGAGCAGCATTCGCACTCTTTCTTCATCAATAAAACCACAGTCTCATTTCCTACTGGATTTGGAAAAAAACAAAAAAAACAACACAATTTTGGCAGCAGCCGCATTAATTATGCAGAAAGAAAAGCAGAAATTCCTCAAAAGTTAGTCCTATAGGAGTTTGATTTATTGGCTGCTTGTTCTCAAAAGGCATTCTAAGGTTTCCACCCCAAACTAAGCAAGAGGCTCTTGTCGAAAAATATCTCTATTCCAAAACACAACAAACTAATTAGGCTAATGACCTTAAAGACCATTTGTCCTCAACAAACATATCATCAGCTGTTCATTTGTATGGATTCCAATCATTCTTGCAGTGGCTTGAATCTCTATGTCACATAAGGAAGGGAACATGGCACACTTCACAGAGAAGCCAAAAATCACTTTAAATATGTTGGGATGATAAAATAACTTCTGAAAAAAAAGAAAACACTAAAGCCTACTACAAATTATATATAGGTGAAAATTTAATGTTATTAAAAGAATCATGAGAAAGAAAACTGCCATTAAGCAATTTTAGAAACCTGTACTGAAAACCAGAGATTGTAAGTTGTAATGCACATGCACACTGTCATCTCTTTTAAAAGAAAAATCTATTAAATGTCACCGAACAAAGAACTGGGCAATTTTGTGTTATTAAAGAAAAAAAAAAGTAACACGCCAAAAGAAACCCATTCCTTACCATGTCTCCTTTATCTCCCTTTTGTCCAGAATGTCCTGCCAAACCCGGAAACCCTTGATCCCCCTTTCAAATACACATAAGTCACATTATGCAATGTTAATATGCTAAATCAGCTCTCTGTATCAGGTCTAAAATGCTGTGATCAAAATTCAAAGAGGAGTCCTAGCCTGAACTCTGGCTCTTTGTACTTCAGAAGAGATTAGCTGAACATCACCCACTGATGAAGTGCATGTCTGTGCCCAAACACCCCCTTATTTGTGCTAAATTGCTTCTAATAAGCTTTTATTTCTGCCTCTGGCTGTCATCCAGGTATACAGACTGCCATAAATGCGCTTCAATTGGCCATTCATTTTGCATGTGGCATTACCTCAAGATCCATTGTGGAGTGCTAACTCGCTCATTTAAAAAATGCTTTCATGGTTTAACTTTACCTTCAGAGCAGGACAGTGGCATCGGTCGGTGGGCAGCTGGGCTGGCATGGACAGCATTCTGTGGAAGTATCCTGTGACCAGTGGGGCCGCTGTGGGGTTATGGGTCACTACAGGTTCACACTGGTCAGATTAAAAATAAAAACATGGACTACTGTTAAATTATTAAAATATAGACCAAGATAATCAATTATCCACTTGGAATTCCTTGAAGATGGGATTTATGGGGATTTTCTACATTATGCATGCATGGTATACGCATACAAATCTTCTTGTGAAATGCATAACTCTGGCAAACTGAGATACATAAAATATATCAGTTGGTTCTGTAAAGTCATTAATATGATCAAAGATGTGGGCAAAAAAAATAACAGCATTAGAGCTCAATTTTGATGACTTTGGGAGCAGCATTTGCACTCTTTCTTCAGTCTTATTTTTTTTGTTACTTTTAGTGAATCAAAACGGCAAGAAATTTCATTTAAAAGTCTGTCAAGAATTGCACAAATACACTACCGTTCAAAATTTTGGGTTCAGCCAGGCTGCATTTATTTCAGTAAAAACAGTATTATTGTGAAATATCACAATTTAAAATACGTTTTTGTTTTAATACTTTTCAAAATGTAATTAATTCCTGTGATGGCAAAGATGAATTTTCAGCAGCCATTACTTCAGTGTCACATGATCCTTCACAAATCATTCTAATATGCTGATTTGTTGATCAAGAATAATTTCTTACTAATATCAATGTTGAAAAAAGTTGTGCTGCTTAATATTTTATTGGAAACCTTCATACATGTTTTTACCAAATACAAGCATCCCTTTTGATCAATTTAATGTGTCCTTTCTTTAATAATAAAAAAAACAATTACTGACCCCAAACTTTTGAAGGGTATTGTTTAAATAAAGTAGTTTAAATAAACTAAGAATATATAATTAAATGAAATTAACTTTATCTTATCATTTGGCAATGGAACTGGGTTTCTTTCTTTTTTAAAATTTCTTAAGTCACACAAGAATTTTTATTTGAGCCATGGAAGGAACCTGAATTGTTAAGAGGAAACAAAACTGTAATCTCAATTTTTCCATCCCTACTCATACCCCTGTAAAATTAGCTCAGTAAACTGCAGCCCCTCAAGAGTTGGTGCCCTAGGCAATCATCTGTGTTGCCTAATTACATGACCAGCCCCAATGGCCACTTGGACCGTTCCCCTTCCATGTGGAAAACACTAAGAAAACATTATCCCAAACACTAAGAGAGGGGATTAGCACACAACTGTAGAGACCATGTACCAATTACAGCATTGAGCAGGAATGTGGATTTTGTCTAATCCAATCGTTTAAGACAGAATGTTGCCTTTAATTAATCAGAAATTATTGACCGGAGCAACTTGAGCTAAAAGGATGCCCTCAAGGGCTTTGTCCACAGTGGAAACGATCCATCCAAGAACAATACACGCTATGGCTCTATTCCAAAATCTACATCTTTGCCTACATGGATGGCATTTTAAGATTGTTTCAAAAGGTAGAATAAAAGGACGAATTCAAAGGCAGAATTGCATGTATCCTTTGCAGAGAAGGAAATCCTATAATGCACTGCAATGAGATCAGTGAAAAACAACTGAAAATAGTAGATTAAACAAGAGAAAGTTGATTAAACTTAAAACTTAAGTCTGTTTCTCAAACTAAACTATCCTACGGCTTCAGAAAATATGGAATATAATGCAAATAGACTACTTTTATAATGTTTTTCTGTTCTTTTGGAAGCTTGACTAATTAAAAATGGACTATTTCTGTGCACAATGTATTTTTATGCTTATTAGTATATCACATCATCAGCTGAGCAATATGTTAACAACAAATTCTATCAAAATCAATTGTGAGTTGAGTTTGTAATTGATCAGTTGTGTCAGGAGGAGTACTATTTGTATGACACACACATGGTTGCTGCCTATATAGAGCGCTCCCGATCGGTCACTCATTATGACAGCAAGGCAGCTCACTTGACTTTGGAACGGAGTCTTTGAAAACTAACTATACCTCACATGTTACGTTATTCAATAGCAGTGTTGAAACGTGACTGGCCTGTTCAGATTTGATATGATAATTATGTCAACCCCCTAATTTTAGAGCAAAATTATAGGCTGGTTAGGAAGGATCATCGAGTCTGTATCATTAAAACTGCCACACCATAAACCCGAACATCTTACCGTAACTCCAGGAGAATCGCAGCATCTGTCCAGGTCGGCTATTCTAGCATCACAGAAGATCAGAATCTCCTGAAGTTCAATCTGTGAAGGTAAATTGAAATTTATGGACATGAACACACATACCTGATAAATGAATGAGTACACCATTCGATTTTTACTTGCATCAGGTTCAGACATGAAGTTAGTGATGTTCCCCAAACTATAAGTGGTTTCCACTATAGTTTTGACAGGGCTTTAACAATCACTAACTGTACTAAAAGTACTAAGCTTTGCATTCATACTCCGATTTAGCAAGTGATGAGAACCTCTGTCCACAACTCACATCCACTGGACGTCCATCCTCCACTCGAGTGGTGATGAATGTACGTCCGCTCACGTTCATTCCAGACCTTTCAGCGGTCACCTGACGCTCAATTAATTTGCAGTCCAGGTAGATAGAGACCGCATTGCTCTCGACAGACACACCAAGCTTGTGAAACTGTCGATCGAAGAGGGCGTGCAGGTCTCGGTTCTTGAATACGTAGAGGAGGCTGTTTTTCAGAAAACCCTGAGCCAAAAACTCTACTGTTTTTTTAGCTCCATCCACTATTAGTGACACCTAAATGAAGGAGAGAAGAAGGGATGAACATTAGAGGCTCATTAAGCTCATTATGTTAATGAGATAAGCTGACTGAAGTCTGAAGCGATCACTGTGTGCAAGAGAGTAGCATTTATATAATGATAATTTTTTACAGATCTAAATAAAATCTTGGATTTTTCACATACCTGTGTATCTCCACCTTTATCAAAGATCTGCAGAACAAACCAGCGATCTTTCTTTGTGGTTTTTCTGAGCCGTAACGTGGCAATAACGGAGTACTCATGAGAAAGTCCATTTGGGAACACAGATCTTTAGAAAAGATAGACAACATCAACATCTACAATTAAAATTGATCCAAATAAAAAGTAGAACAAAAACAAATACATGACCGTTTACCAATTAAGGCTGCATTTATTTGAATAAGTCACAGTAAAAACATTGAAACTGTGAAGTATAACAATTTCAAATTACGGTTTTCTTTTTAAATATATTTTATATTTATTCCTGTAAAGCAACGCTGAATTTTCAGCATTATTACTCCAGTCTTCAGTGTCACATGTTCCTTCAGATATCATTCTAATATGCTCATTTGCTGCTCAAGAAACATTATTTTTGCTTAATATTTTTTTGTGGTAACTATAATGCATTTTATTAGGATTCCTTGATAAATAAAAGGTCACTTTACTGAGCCGTAACGTGGCAATAACGGAGTACTCATGAGAAAGTCCATTTGGGAACACAGATCTTTAGAAAAGATAGACAACATCAACATCTACAATTAAAATTGATCCAAATAAAAAGTAGAACAAAAACAAATACATGACCGTTTACCAATTAAGGCTGCATTTATTTGAATAAGTCACAGTAAAAACATTGAAACTGTGAAGTATAACAATTTCAAATTACGGTTTTCTTTTTAAATATATTTTATATTTATTCCTGTAAAGCAACGCTGAATTTTCAGCATTATTACTCCAGTCTTCAGTGTCACATGTTCCTTCAGATATCATTCTAACATGCTCATTTGCTGCTCAAGAAACATTATTTTTGCTTAATATTTTTTTGTGGTAACTATAATGCATTTTATTAGGATTCCTTGATAAATAAAAGGTCACTTAATAATGTACAGTGTGTGGAAAATAATGTGTTTTTTTAACCTTAAACCACATAAACACATTTCACTACACCAAATACACAAAATACTGTTCTTTTTAGCAACATCATATGACCCCTTTAAAGTATCCTTTTTAATCTGAATTCTAACTGACCCCAAAACGAGTGTATATAGAAAGAGACCAGTAAATGAATGACAATAAATTAATAAGTGAATTGTTTTTAATTGGCACATGAACGGTCCAAACTAAATGACTCAAACAAATCAGACTTCCTAACACTGTATATGAGAGAACAAGAATGTTCTAGAAAAGCATGTTTAAATAATGCTTTAATTTAGCAGTAAAGTGCTATTTTCATTTAACACTTCAATAAGTCAAGTGCATTGGCATCAATGTTCTGCTCTGTATTTTTCCTCTTTAGTCTTGCCTGTAAGACTTATCAGAAAACATTGTAAATGTGTCCTTTTATAAACAGAAATTATTCTGTCTGTCGCGCTATTGTTTGAAACCACTAACATGTTTTCACTCGTCTGAACAAAATACTGCAGCAGTGACTTGAAACAAACTCATGGTACAAGAAATAATGCTAAAGCTTCTATAGGGTTATAAAAATTGTTGAAAGAGTAATATTCAATTTTTGAGTCAATCTCATAACACTGTAACAGAAACAATTATTTCTTTTACACTATTTGGTAATTAACTGGCATTTCATCAAACACGATCAGCAAAACTGACAATGGGAAAATCTCATGTATGAATACTTTAAAAGGACAGAAGAGAAAGAGAGAGAGCGAGAAGGAGAAAGAAAAAGAGAGAGACATCAGACTTGCAAGAGACATGCTGAAAATGAGTTTATTCTCAAATAGATCATTCTCTATTCTCTCTAGGCATGAAACTAGTACAGATGTATTACAAGACGATGGCCGGACTATTGACCACACAATTTTCAAACATATTTGGTTGTAATCTACTCTAAATATCATTCAAGTCATCACTTACTCACGCTCAAGATACAGTGGAACAAAAACTTCAGTAGATGTGAGCATGTTCAGTGAATAATGCCGTAAACTTTAGTCTGTTTCTCAAAAAATATCATATGGCTTTAAAAGATATGGCATGTTCATACAATGAAAGAATATTCTTAAAGCATCTCCTTTGCATTCCACACAAGAAAGTCAGTCTTCTTGGAACGGCTTGACAATTCTACAAAAATTCAATCTGACATTTATCTTGATAAGGAAAGAGGCAATAACAGGTTCAAAAGGAGAGAACAAAGACTTTTTTGGAATTGCTGAGTAATATATTTCATGAATTCAGCCTTAAATTAGATTTGATATGAGCAGCCGGTGGAATGGACTTGTGTCAAGTGAGACCTCATAAGTGAGTGCAGTGTTTCGGAGCACACCAACCTGGGCACCGTGACATCAATTCACTTCATCACTGAGCTGTTAAATAGGGACATCAGAGGCCATATGCCAAATAGGATGGGATGTAACGCTCTAATGCAGCCCCTATTAAACTAATCTCTGAACATACAGATTAATAAGCAAACAAATTGCTACAAAAAGCCCTCCACAGTGGCCTAAGCTTGTTCCCTCATGCTTAACATTATTATATTATAGCCTATTATTATATTATAGTATGCAAATAGTTTAAAATGAACAAATACATATATAATATGATTAAAAGTTTGTCCCCCACATTTTGGGACAGTTATATGTGTTGTGTTGTGTTGCGTTGCATTGCATTGTGAATGTAATGAAACTTTATTTAAATAAAATAAAAAGATAATATTATATTAAAATATAATCATTCAGTCAAATGTGAAATTTGTGCACCTTTAGTGGCACTACACAGCATTGCAAACAATAAATAAAACATCCCACATTGTCTTTCCCTGTCATTTACAGAAAATGCTACCCCAAACTTGAGCCAGCATTATTTTGTCCAAACAAACAGACTGCAGTTGTGTTTGGTGGCTTTTTTTGTCAATAGTGGTGCACAAAGTTTTATTTTGTCCACAGTGCAAAAAAAAAATATATAAAAAAAAAACAAGAATAATGTATTCAGCCACACAGAAAAGGGAGAATTTCAGCAGTGAAAGGAACAAATGTGCGATAGGCCTACTATGAGTAGTGCCTGTTCATCAACCTTTCAACAACTCAGTTAGGACTACCAGGCAAACATTATGTCACACAATTAATATTCATGAGCAAAGCTCATAAGTTTTATATTGTGCTTCCCCCAACACTTTTCAGATCGTTCCCACACCCTTGCCTCTCATAAAAATGAATACCAAACATGCAATTAGCACATCTTAGCAGAGTCATCTGTGAAACAACTAATGGAAAATAGACTGGAGGAGTGGAGCCTTCTCTTTCCATGTGACCGTATCAACTGAACGATGGGGCCCGGCTGCATTTCCTGCGAGTAAAGTGAGAGATGTTTGGAGTTTGTGCTGGGGGCTTTTTGACCCCCTTCTCCACCCCCCCGACACATCCAGCTGACTAATGCCATCACCTGTCAGAGTTCAGCTTAATTGAGGTCTGGCGGGGTGTGTGCGAGTGTGTGTCTGTATGGGGGTCCATGTAGACAACTAGACATTCTGATCCCTCAGAAGTGCACTCCACCTCCAGCCAAGGAGACTCACAGTTGGCCCCTGAGGGCAGGTCTGGGCAGCAGATAGAAGGCCCCACAGTAGGCCGCTGACCACCAAGCGTCGGATAGAGCAACAGATCGCAAATCATCTGACCCATGGCTCCTTCAGGGTCCAGGGGAGCAAACAGTGTGTTTACAGTTGCATAAAAAAAACGCTAAAAATATCCTCCCTTTCCCTGTGCAGATGACTAGGTGTTATTTTTCACTGGTGAAACGCATGGAAGCAGAATCTTTACGGCCAAACCAGCAGGTGTGCTTAAAACCACAGAGAATAATCAGTTAGACTAAACTAAAGACTATGATGAAACACAAAAGAACAAATGACCTATACGTTAAACAATGTACTACTACTTTAGTGCGCAATGTACAGTGTATATATTGGCCCCGAAATCTTGGACACTTAAAAATTGATTAATCTTATTGCTTTCGATAACAAATTATCAAACCAAGCGACATTTGCAAAAACAAAATTACACTAGACCTTTTCTCAGAGCCTCTTCTGGTGATTGCATTTAACTAACTGGACTCAGGGACATTTTAACTGGATTTATGTAGTAGTTCTCCTCAAGTTTCCACAGATGTAGCCCATCACATTAATTAGGAACATACTGAAAGTGTCCAAAAGCTTCGCAACTTAAAGCAATAAGCAATGAGATGCTGTGTGGTACAGTGATTTTAATCACAGGAAAGGGTAAAAAAAAAAAAAGTTCAAATCAACTAATACTTTTATTCAACAAGGATGCATTTAATCGATCAAAAGTGACAGTAAAAAGATTTACAGTTTAATGTTACAAAAGAATTCCATTCCAAATAAATGCTGCACTTTAGAACTTCCCATTTAAAGAATCCTGAAAAATGCATTAGTGTCCAAAAGCTTCGCAACTTAAAGCAATAAGCAATGAGATGCTGTGTGGTACAGTGATTTTAATCACAGGAAAGGGTAAAAAAAAAAAAAAGTTCAAATCAACTAATACTTTTATTCAACAAGGATGCATTTAATCGATCAAAAGTGACAGTAAAAAGATTTACAGTTTAATGTTACAAAAGAATTCCATTCCAAATAAATGCTGCACTTTAGAACTTCCCATTTAAAGAATCCTGAAAAATGCATTAAAAAAAATTAAGCAGCATAACAGTTTTCTTTTCAACATTGATTATAATAAGAAATGTTCCTTGAGAACCAAATTAGCATATTAGAATGATTTCCGAATGATATGACACTGAAGACTTGAGTAATGGCTGCTGAAAATTCAGCTGTGGCACCACAAGTATACATGTATATTACACTTTAAAATCGAAAATATTTTTTTAATTATTATTTTAATCATCATTGTATTTTTCATCAAATAAATGCATCCTTGGTGAACAAGGTTCATCAAAAACATGGGGGAAAAAAAATCTTACTGCCCCAAACCATCAATGTTCAATAGACTGTAATTTAGGTCATTATTTAGCTTTAGCAAATTTATCTGAATATTACAAGCGTTTACAACATTTACATTCTGCTTGTGAAATGTGCCTGTGCTGTATTTCTTAAATGAATGTCATTAGGTTTGATACATTGTGTTCAAATAATTGTTGGTGCCACTGTCCATTTGGTCTTGCTATAAAAAACAAATGATAACTCTGAACTCAAAAATAACCACTGGAATGAAGCTCAACAACAGAAAAAAAACTATATTATTAAATCATTCAGGATAAAATTATTATAGTCAAAAAATATGAAATTAGTAATGTTCACAGCATCACAATTAAGAAAAAAGCGTAAACACGTCCTGTTTCTTCTGAGAAGGCATTGTGTTTAATGTAATATGCATTTTTGCATTTAGCAGATGCTTTTATCTGAAGACTTGCATTGCATTAAACTATCATTTCATACATTTCCTGAGAATCAAACCCAAGACCTAGGAGTTGCTAGCACCATGCTCAAATATTTGAGTTACAGCACTGTAACGATAACTTTTTTTTTTTTTTTTACTTTTTCTCAGATGTTTTTAGTACAAACACCACACTTTTATGTTTGTGACATAATTATCATAAGTCATGGCACCACCCTATTTTGTTTACATTTCACTGTGACGTATGACCGACTGGAACGCTTTGAGGTCGGAAGTGGGGAATTTCAACTCTAGTCTTCCCACCCTTGACTTAGTCTGGAACTCGCCACAATCCCACCAGCTTTTCAGCAAAATACAAAAGAGTTCTTTTGAGCATCAATTTGAGCTCTTTGGACTCATGAATATGCTGTGGGTTCATGCGGTTTGGACAGCTGACCTTGACGGAACACGGCCTACATAACTCTACATGTCCAAGGCTGTTAGAAGTAGATTAAACATACCTGAAAAGTCTAACTAACACAGAAGCCTTCTTTGAACTCGGTGTCACCCTTGAGCTGTAAGTTATTAAAGTAATTTTAAGGCAATTAATATACAGGACATGATTCCCCATTACTGCTTGATTTCTCTTCTAGGCGGTACTCCATTACAGTCACCTCTCTTTCTCCTTGGTCGAGCCCACTGCCCACGGTCTGCAAATTAATTTTGTCCAAATTATTTAACATGTCTCACGGCTCACCTCACAGTTTATTCTTATTAGCCAATGCGAGGGGAATTATCTCAGCAAGCTCGTGATATCTGGGTCTTTCCATGTCAACACACCATTAAAAGCATACAAGACATCTCCTGAGTTTTCAGTTGAAGTGAAAGCAAGCTTACACCATGGGAAAATATTGGTTTGTGTCGCAGAAACCCAATAACGGCCTGGCATATTTTTTAAATCTTGAGTGGTATAAACTCATGTGAACCGCTCCGAGAATGCAGTTGTTCAGCGAGGCAACCTGCACTCTGTCCCGTACAGAGATTTATATGGGAAGCTGTCAGAAAGGCTAACCAAAACACGCAACATGTGGATGTGGGCATTCATTCAAACTACCATCATAACATGCTCATCACAGCAGTGATTCTGCAAGGAACTGTCCTACTTTCTGCTCTCCAGATGCTAGAAAATTCTGCACATCGTTGATCACGTCCAGACTACATAAACATTCTTATGGATACCCACATTTGCTGCAATAACTTTCAGCTTAGTTAACATTGTTTTCAGACAAAACAATCCTCTGAATGATGTGTGAGTGGAAAATAAATGGCACAATATCAAAACCACATCAACATTTGCAGAACTTACTCTGTTGGTTTAAACAACGGTTTACTCCCCAGTCTCAACAACAGCCCGTTGTCAGTCACCGTGCCTTTTCTGAGAAGAAACCTCTCAGCTAAATCAAACCCTGTAAACAAGAGAAGAAAAAGACAAACATACATTACATTTATGCATTCGCCAGACACTTTTATCCAAAGCAACTTACAGTGCATTGTGTAAACATTTTGGGAATTGAAAACATGACCTTAGCGCTGTTACCTCCATGTTCTGCTAAAGGAACAACATTAGCTCTAGGCTAAAGAGATTTTCAGTAAATGTTGTCCTGTTGAACACACATGTGTGGTCTTTTATGTGGAATGATTAGTATTAGCAAGGCAACACTATTGTTATTTCTCAAACATTTTGGTTTGGGGCTTGTTCTAAACGTCTGCAATTAGTACAGACTCCATTCAAACTGTTTTGTAGGTGATTTTTTTTTAATACACTTCATACATACTTTCAAACTAAAGTTTGACAATCTCCTAATGTCTGACTGAATTAGCACTGACAGCAATTAGCATTCAAATCTAACCTATATTGATGATGGCATTGTGGTATTCGCATATCAAATTGTGATTTTCCTTGCATTTACTTGCATTCATTTGTATATTAAATAGTGATTGGTATTTTCTTTCTTGCTATCTATTTAACTATTAACACTACAGTGCAAAAGCTTGGGATTATTTTTTTAATTCATATTTACTCAGTAAGGATGCATTAAATTGATCAAATTGACAATTGAAAAAATTTTCTATTTAAATGATTCTATTTCAAATAAATGCCGTTCTTTTGAACATCCTATTCATCAAATAATCCTGAGAAATTGTATCACGGTTTCCACAAAAATCTCAAGCAGCACTACTGTTTTCATCATTGATAAAAACAAGAAATGTTTCTTGAGCAAATGAGCATAGAATGATTTCTAAAGGATCACGTGACACTAAAGACTAAGGTAAGGGCTGCTGAAAATTCACCTTTGCAATCACAGGAATAAATTACATTTTAAAATATTTGACAATACAAAACAGTTATTTTAAACTGTAATAATATTTCACAATTTTACTGTTATTACTATATTATTTATCAAATAAATGCAGCTTTGGTGAGCATAAGAGACATTCAAAAAACATCTTAACCCCAAACTTTTGATAGGGTATATCCATCTTTACACCTTTCACAGTGACCATGATTCTTGTGTGCAGTCAACAGATAGCAAACACTCTGTGAACCCCATTTCTGTGGAAAAACTCAACTTACCTACAGCTTTGACAGTATTCTTTAGCTGGCTTGCAAGAACTGGCATTTCCTTCAGGAAATGCAAAATTAGCTGTATAAATTGCTCTGTCAGCTTCAGCCATGTGCAACATTAGGGATGTTTTAAACAGCCAGTTTGATGTTTAACAGCACTGTGTGAGGACAAGCTGGGCTTGATTTCTATTTGTATATACAGTATTCTTTCTTTGTACCTGTGAATTCTCTGTGAATGTTCACATTGGTATGCCACTTCTCCTCCAGCTTCATGGGTGGACATGTATGATCTGCAGAGGAAAGGAATATTATGCGTTAATGAAGCAACTGAATTGATTTTTAAAAACTGGTACTGTTTTAGCTAATTCAGTATAGAGAAGACCACAGCTAGTGTCACACTTTTTACTCCACTGAATAAGGGTAGGTTTGTTTTTGAAAATCAATTTTCATATAGTCACGTACCTTAAAGTCTTTACTACAAAAAAGCAATTTCAACAGTTACTGCCCAAGAAAAGTTCACTAAACTTTTTGTCACAAAGGGAATCTGCCATTAAACAGCCTAGCCCCTTGATGCATCAAATACTGTTTCCAGGTCCAAGCTTCCACTCCACTTTCAAATGAGAGTAATACTTTGAGACTATTCATTTTAGCACACCTTTAAGCTAAGCTTTTTTTTTTTAAATGTGGTGTACGCTACAGTCGCTGGGCTCACAGCATCCTGGACACCAATATTTTATATGCATAAAGCATGAATAAATGTTTGTCTAACTAAAATGTTGGTATGGGGATAAAGGTTAGAATCATGATTTTTCAGTAGTAGTACTATAGCACACTGAGTGTACTGTATAGAAGAGTTTTTTGTTTGCTTTTGGGATCTGATGAAGCATTTGGACCTGGAAACTGTGACACATAACTTCAACGCATAGAGTACAACTGCGCCCATCCAATTTTTTCAGCACCTTTGTTCCAGAAATATTCTAAGAAAGCGATGAACCAAACCATCCACCAACAAGGTGAATAAGAATATTAAACATTTTAATTTGAAGCAAAAAGACAACAGGTATAAGTTTGTGTATGGTTTTAATGAGGGAAAGAAATACAATCACCTGAAGAATTGTGAACAACAGTCAGAATACAAACGACAAATAAAACTATTGATTTAAAGATTATGTATATAGAAACAATATATTTGACATTTATTGCAAAACATGCATATTTATATACAAATATTTAAGAAAGTAGAAAGTATTAAATAATTTGCATAGCTTTTGGCATGCTAGTTTCAATTCTCTGAGTGGTGGAGCATTTTTGTATTTTTTCACCAGAAATTATGCTGTTATAAATTAACAAAAAATAAGTTAAAACAATACAGGCTGATGGCTTCAGCGAAAGCATATACCATTAATTAACAACCTTGTAACTCACTAGTTCTGTCTTCAACAGTTTATAAGTTGTAGTTAAAAATCAATTCCCCTATAGAGAAAATGTAGTGGATTTTTTACTTCCAAAACCCAACTGTTGCACTTTATTATAGTCTTTTCAGCAAAAACTAAATCAGCAATACAATTATGAAAAAGCAAAATGATCAAATTTAACATCTAGAAACATCAAATCATTGTTTTGGTTGACAGATGTTGTAAATGAATAAACTGTATAAAACTTAATTTTAAAGCAAATGTGACAACTTGCCCCAATCTATTTAAAACACCGTAAGAACACAAATCAACATTTCAGTAAAAATCCACCTCAATTAATAAAAACAACTTTAAACTCATAATATCAAGCAAAAATTACAGAAAATTTTATAACACTGGATGAAAACAAATAATGATTTTATTTCATAACAAGCCTACTAGTTACTGAGATCCCAGTGAAACAACAAGCCCCAGTCTCCACTGCCATGACATTTGCAGCCCGATATTTCTGAAGGACGAATTCTGCTTCATCAACAACAATTATCCCCCCACTAATAAAAGGATGCTCACACAAACACAAATGCAAAAACACACAAACATATCTACATTCACAGCCGAACATCCGCACAGCATTAACAGGAAATTCCAAAAATCAGCACAATCTGCTGGCAAACTGCCGACTCTTAAGGAGATGGGACACATGCTGCAAATCCTCTCTAAATCTCTTCCTGGATGTCACGCTCGCACAGTGGATCACAGGAGATAGCAATTCACTCAGCTGGCAAAAATATTGCTTGCCTGTCCTCTTGTTCAGAGGACTCTCATTTGTGGGCATTTACACTGTGCAATAATATTCCTTAATCGCCTCAGGTTAATCTGAATGGGGCCAATAAAGCAATTCTATCGGACACATAACACCAGAGCCGGATGTGTCCTGGTGCCTTCTGGCCGATGCCACCCAGGTCAAGGGCTTGACGCCATGTCCTCGTGAGCAGGAATTTCAAATAGCTGTGCAAGAGTCCCTGCTTCTTAAAGGAGGGCGCGATGTCTTTCATCACAAACAATTCATTTGCATACAAGGATTCCAAACAAGAAAGCTAAAACAGAGCGCTAATTAAAGGTGACGACAGCGGCGCTCTGCACCAGAGCAGTGAAGTCACCATTGACCTCTCGCGCGGAGACAAACAAGGCTCGAAAAACCAAACAGATGTAATCGCTTCTAATCAAACCTTTTGTAAACGGACAAGAATAAGCAAACATCTTGGTGCGGACCTTTTGGTGACAACATACATACCTATTCTCTCATTCACTGTCATTCCTGAAGTAAAAGGAATGGAATTTACGACCCACATGAAAACGGTCCATCTGAGACAGTGAATCATGTCGTCTTTGGCACATAAGAAAGGGCCCCTTGAAAACCTAGAAATAGAAAACAACGTCACTTTTACAACTCTTTGATGCTCTTCTGGGTAACGCAACACCACTTGTTACTGTCTGAATGATGACTGATTACACTGACTTCACAATTCAGTTACTTTTTCATATGTTTTACTCATAAACAACTGATTTAAACTAACTTTAGCGCCGTCCTATATTCAAGAACACTCAATATCAAATGAGGACGGTCTACTCAATCTAATAGAACATGTAGGAAAATATAATGTTTTGTAAAATCAGTCTAGCGCTTCAATTATGTGGTGAAACGTCTTAAAGCAAAATGTCAAGTGTGACATTTCACTCCTCAGAATAAACTCCAGGGCAGAGTAAGTTTCCAGCATGAGGTGCTTCTGGGGACCCAGTGCCAGATTCCTGTAAACCAATATGATCCGTTACCCACCGCTGACTGTTGTTATTGAGCTCTTAAGTAACAGGGCAAACAAATTGCGCTAAATAATTAAACACTAATGCTATGGAGTTTTGAAACACATGCAGTTTTTTAGGCTACAATCATTAGTGCATCTCTGTATATAATAATGTGGTAAATTGGTTTGTTGTGAACTTCAAACTCAAGTTCAAAGTTTGAACTTTCAAATGAACATCAAAAAGTGATATATACATTTTTTTTTAAGATCTCTAATTAAAGGGAGGGTGGTGTATTACAATGTCAGGTAGTGACTGAACACTTTCCACTCACTTAAAAATTTATTTTGAAGTCAAATCAAAGCAATTTCAACCAGCAGTCATGAGTTCATTGCACTTTTAACCCACTGTTAAAGGCTTTACTGATTAATAAAAGCAAGTTGAAAATCTGAAAACTCATATCAAGCAAAAATTACATTTTGGTGTACAAACTGATGGAAGCAAATAATGCTATTCTCCAATCACACATGCTAATTCTAATAGTATTATGTGGAATATGACATTTTACTCAAGATTAAGTGTACTTAAAGTGGTCAAAGACAACCCTTCGCTTTCTTCATACACATTTAAACTTAAAAACTTGATTATGAAAAGTTAACCTGCATGTTGTCAACTAATCATATTGTAAAAACACAGTTATCTAAATTAAAGAAGCGGTATAATTTTATCTATGTATTCGATGTGAAGCTAAAACCTGAGTGTTCAATATTTGATATCGGCATATTAATCCATCAATAAAAGTGCTAAAACACATTCAGTGGCTGGTCCCCATTGACTTCCATAGTATGAAAAAAAAAAACACTATGCAAGTGGGGACCAGCAACTTAAGGTGAACTATCCCTTTAAATATAATATAACCAAAAGCGCTCCTTAAAACTTGACTAGCAATAAACAACAATAAAACACAACATGACCTCATTAGTGTGCTTAAAATGCATGCCTGCAAATATTTAATTTCTACATTTGCTTGCCAAATGTGTCATGTACATAGTCAAGAGCTACTGTTTACTGCAATTTCTCTGATGATAAATCAGCAATGCTAAACATTCAATCTCTCTCTTCTCTCAAGTACACAGCACAGGACCCACACACAGTGGCGTGTTCAACTCAGATGACAACAAACATGATAATTAAAAAATGACACCGCACACATACTCTGCAAAAACACCTACAAAGTCACAGCAACCAAGACAGATGAACACCGGCTACTTACATTTGCTGAGAAAGTTTATTATTCCAGCGTAAACACAGCAAAGGCAAATCCTGTTTGGCTAATTAGTGCATTTTAAGCAGCTGTGGGTCCAAAGCACACTTGCAAATAAAAGTGAGAATGAAAGCTCGTGCAGGAACCGTGTCCTTATTTGTCGCACTGCCTGACCCTCCCTCCCACTCATTAGAGCAGCACACATCAGGACGGACAGGACACTCTGAGGGGCTCCCTGTGGAACACGCTACAGTACAGTACACAGGGTACTTGACCAATAGCAGGGGTACTAACTTTTCTTTCAAATTAGAGGACAAAATATAAAGATAAACTTAATATAAAAAGAAGGAACATTTATTTTGTCTATCTATCTATATATATATATATGTGTGTGTGTGTGTGTGTGTCTATATACTTTAATAAATATGATATTATTAATAATATGAATGTAAATATATAATAATATAAATTATAATATTATAATATTATGCTGACTACCTCATTAAATATTTCTCAGGATGGGTAAGTTGACTCATAACAGGTACTATTAAAGTCTTAAATTAAATTAATATATTAATATAAAAAGAAGGATCAGTTAATTTGTCTATCTATATATATATATATATATATATATATATATATATATGTGTATATGTATATGTGTGTGTGTGTGTGTGTGTCTATATACTTTAGTAAATATGATATTATTAATAATATGAATATAATATTATAATGTAAATATTATAATATTATGCTGACTACCTCATTAAATATTTCTCAGGATGGGTAAGTTGACTCATAACAGGTACTATTAAAGTCTTAAATTAAACAAATATTTAGCTGGTGAAACCATTTTTGATACACAAAACACAAAAATGTCTAAGCCAACAGAAATATTAGCTGGGGTTTTAGCTGACAAATATTTTAACTAAATGTAACAACTTTGAGGGGGTTTTGTTTCATATTTGAGTCTTGTCTTTTATTTCTAAAGTGTATATAGTTGTTATTTTGTATATTGCATTGTATAAATAATAAATCTGTAAAATAACTGCTTATTACTGGGGTATTATCCACACATTTCCGTTAACTCCAAAACACGGTGCAGTGTAAAATTCAAAATACAGATAAAACACCTGTAAAAATGAATACAGACAATTCTTCCAAATTACAGAACATTGTGCCCTATTTTTATGGCTATGTATTTTTTATTGATTTATTTTCTTGCATGCAATGTCTTGTCTGTTCACTGAATGTGTTTTTAAATGTTTTTCACTCTATACATGCCACAATTTTTTAAAATACAAATATTATAGAATTATTATTAAATAAAAGTAAAATAAAAATGATATGTATTTGAATAAATGATCTTTTGAGAGCATACACAATGCTTGCAACAAATAAATAAATAAATAAAGCATAGGATTTGAGTCCAAATTGATTTTGAAATGCAACTAACACTACAAATCTCCAATATATATACCACAAATCTTCAATATATGGGAGATTTGTTGAGGTATTTGTGCTACGTGTTGCTCAAGATGTGAGTCTCTATAGAGTTATCTATATGTCTACAACATGTTTATTCCTCTAGATGCTTTCATGTGAATCTAATTTTTTTGAAAGCACTATTCATTTGAAGCAGGGATTTGCAGCACATTGCGATATCTCACCTGACCATCTGACTCTTCTGACCACCACTTTTGTGTTTACACAAGGCTCTCAGCACTGATGAATAATGAGATGCATTTTTAGGATTGTGTTTGTATTGGCCTTATTAGTGTGTCTCCACATTACCACGCACCCCTAACCCAGCTGCTTTCAGAACAGCTGTTTCTCAGACAAGGAATCAATGAGACTTCTCAGCTGTGATTCACTTCAGGCTTGCATTTTTGCGACAATAGCATCATAATGTCCCCTGTGTTCTTTTGAAGAATACCCCCCGAGAAACAGCCACCTTAAGCCTGCTGATGGGAAGTTCAGCACTAGAACAACATGCAGAAAACATGCTGCCCATGCTGACCCAGAATCAAACTTCCCTGAGCAGATGCATCAGTATAAAAGATCAATGTCTGTTGTGCCTGTTCTCCTTGTAAGGATGATGAAAATGTAAAAAATAAATAATTATAATTATATATATATATATATATATATATATATATATATATCTATCAAAAACTGTTTAGTAAAAATTAAAATGCTTCTATTTTGTGTTCTGTTGTAATTGTAATATAAATGACAACATTTGTTTGTTTTTTGTTTTCTTAATACTGTTATCTGAATATATATATATATATATATATATACAGTGGGTACGGAAAGTATTCAGACCCCCTTACATTTTTCACTCTTTGTTATATTGCAGCCATTTGCTAAAATCATTTAAGTTAATTTTTTTCCTCATTAATGTACACACAGCACCCCATATTGACAGAAAAACACAGAATTGTTGACATTTTTGCAGATTTATTAAAAAAGAAAAACTGAAATATCACATGGTCCTAAGTATTCAGACCCTTTGCTCAGTATTTAGTAGAAGCACCCTTTTGATCGAATACAGCCATGAGTCTTTTTGGGAAAGACCCAACAAGT